CATGCATAAGGAGGAATCTGACACAGTGCTGCCTGATGCCATCCTGTGTCACTACTGGCATCTTCAGAACACCTCACTCTTTAGTCACCATGTACAGTACTGAAAAATTTGCAGTTTTTACAATTTTGATGTTGTAGTCATTGGGAAAATTCTTATACACAAATTAAGAATCCAAATTTAGGGGCTGGTGAGATAGTTCTGAACTTAAGAGCACTGGCTGCTCTTCCAGAGGTCCTGGGTTCAATTTCCAGCACCCACATGGTGGCTCACAACCATCTGTAATGAGATCTGGTGCCCTCTTCTGGCCTGCAGGAACACATGCAGGCAGAATACTTTGTACATAATGAATCAGTCAATCTTTTAAAAAAAGTATCCAAATTTAGTTTAAGAAGCAGACTCAAATTTTCCGATGCAAAGCCCCATGTGTTTAAGGTGGTGCAGAAAGCTGCAGCAGCCTGTCTGCACTTCTGGGAGCGTGTGCACACAGGGGCTCTGGCAGTTGGTGGGTGCTTTTGTTTGCACTTCCCGGGTAGTGGAACACAGCTTCCTTTCATGTCCCAGCTCTTACACTTCTTCAGTTCGCCTCTTATATCTACCTTGGATCTCAGAGACACAGGCCTGGCTGCTTCCTGCCCCCCCTCCCCCAGCTCCCCTGGGCCTCCCTTGCTGCAGTTTCCCTCCTGCCCAACTGCTTCCTGTGTGCGGGGCAGGAGGTAGGGCCCATCTAAGAGCAGCCCCTGAGAACACTTGTGGGTAGGCAGAGACGAAATCCTGCCCCCCCAACACACACACACACACACACACACACACACACACACACACACACACACACTGCTCTGGCACCTGCATCAGAGGCCAGAGGCCTGGGCCTCTGTGTCTCCTCCCCAGCCTTGGCCTTCTGAAGCAGCAGCGACACTAATGGGGCCAGCAGTTGGATGTGCTCTGGACTCAGGAAGCTTGGGCTCCACCCAGGGTCAGCAGTTGTTCCTGAGTTCCTTTGGGACTCCAGCGCTGCCACCCGGACTAAGGACAGCTCTGAAGAGCGGGTGTCTGGCACTCTTGGGTTATTGTCACCCCAACACGTGTGAGGTCATCTGGAAAGGGCAAACCTCAACTGGGAAATTGCCTCTATCAGATTGACTGGTAGGCAAGTCTGTGAGACATTTTCTTGATTAATGATGGGGGAGGAACTACGGTGCCACCCTTGCATGCATGGTTCTGTGGTTTATAAGAAAGTAAACTCAACAACCCACGGGAGCAAGCCAGTAAGCAGCGTTGTCTCCATGGCCTCTGTGTCGCTTCTTGCCTTGAGTTCCCACCTGGCTTCCCCTCATGATGGACTGTAAGCTGTAAGCTGAAATTAATCCTTTTCTTCCCAAGTTGCTTTTGGTCATGGTATGTATCGCAGCAACAGAAACCCAACTAAGACATGTGAGGTTAGAGATGCCCCTGTCACCTTTCAGGCCCTCGTTGAGCAAAAGTAGATGGCAGTTGGTGGCCTCTTTGAAAAAGCATCTCATTGTTTCTATTCTTACTAAAGAGTCACAAAGCAATTTTAAGTATAAAGAATTTCAGAACCTTCAGGATCAGGAGGTTGAGGTAATGCCTGGGCAGGGACTTTGTGTGTAGAGAGCCTGCAGGCAGCCCTGAGCATCCGTCAGTGAGCTGAGGGGCCACCAAGTCTACCTTGGTCCATGCCTTCCTCATCAGAAGTTGCCAAAGAAATCGTGACGGTGCACATCCACTCTTGTCAGAAGCCATCCCCATGCCTGAGATAGGGGTGGGGGCGCTAGTTGGTGTGTTTGAAATGTTAGTATCAGGTAAGGGTGGCAGTTGAAGCCACCAGCACCGTAGGCGAGGAATCTCTTTGTCGTCATGACATTTGGAGTTTTAGCCGTCCGTCCCTGTTCTTCCCTCTGGAACTGGAAGGCCTCCAGGCCCTTTTCTCCTTTCTCTCCCTTCTCTCCCCGGCACCTCCTTGCTGCTTTTGCTCCTCAGCTCAGCTCAGCAACAGTGGGACCGACTGTCTCAGCGGGAGTCAAAAGTCACCAGCCCGATTCCAGCTTGCCTTCCAGACTTTTCCCACTTGGGCCACCCTTCCGCTTCTGTCCCACCCGTCGGGCACTTTTTCCTTCCTGGTGAACTCTGCGGCTCAACATCAGTCTTGACTCTTGTATAGAGTCAATTTAGACTAATGTGTTCCACTGTTCTCTGACGTCCAGCCTATAGCACTTTGATAGTGCATGATATGCATGCTATCTGATTCTTCTTTTTGTAAGAGAAATTGTGACATGTGAGCTGTTTGATGGTGGAGGCCTATCTTAACAACTTTGTATCTTCCACAGTCACTAATAAGTCCCTGTTGGTGTGTTGAATTCTTAGTCTAAGAAAGTAATTTCTTAAAAACTTCCATTTTCTTTGTCGGGATTACTGTTCTGCAAGCAGGTTTTTCTCCAATTTTTTTTCTGTTACTATGCTTTCATAAGTTTGGTTGTATATTGATTTATTTTAGTATTTTTTCTTTAGGTATGGGAGGGGCTCAGTTTGCAGTCTTTCCCCCTGACTTCTGGTCTGCTGGCTCCCTGTAACTTAAAGTTTGTGTGAAGAGTTGTGTTCATACAGGCTTTTGCTATCAGTTTCATTTAACATGGGTTCCAGCTGAAGGCGAGCAGTTCATGTGCTGTGAGTAAAGCTAGCTGAAGATCCACTTAGTATGTGTGTTGTAAGTGGCCACATAAGGGAGAGCCATGGAGAGCCTTGCACATTATGGGTGAGTGCATGGGAAAGGGATAGGCCAGGATTCATCTGCTGGGGTCTTTCAGTCCCCAGAGTGTGTGCGTACCTGTATGACAATCAGATTATCACCTCAACAAGATGGTTGTAACCCTTGGGACTGTGAGAAGAACTGCAGATGTGTTCAGTGTAGGGTACCACCTGAAGGAGAGTATGTGAGGGAGACATGGCTTGTGTGATGCAAACACTGTGACCTGAATGTTATCAGGTGATGGCTGATACCCACAGGCTAAGCAAGGAGGTGGCACAAATAATCAGAGAGTCTCTCTGGAAGAAGTGGTCCTTCGAAGTGTGGGGATGAGCCTGCAAACAAGAGGAAGAATGGACTCATCAGACCTGGCAGAGCAGAGAGGGGGGAAATCTCCAGACCTGAGACACAGGAACCTATGGCTGTGTCCCCCAGGATTCTCTGCCCACACTTTTTTTCTATTCATTCTGATAATCTTGTTTTTCATTTAATGAAAATCATTTTTTTCCTCATATAATACATTCTGATTATGGTTTCCCCTCCTCATACTCCTTTCCTACCCCACTACAATCTGGATTCATACCCTTTCTCCCTCTCGTTAGAAAATGCTGCCCACACTTTGTTGAAAACTTGTAGGCGCTGGGCAGTGGTGGCTCACGCCTTTAATTCCAGCACTTGGGAGGCAGAGACAGGCGGATCTCTGTAAGTTTGAGGCCAGCCTGGTCTACAGAGTGAGTTCCAGGACAACTAGGACTATTACACAGAGAAACCCTGTCTTGAAAAATCAAAAGAAAAAAGAAAACTTGTAGGCCTTTGCAGCTTAAGGCAGACATTTCATAAGTGATTTTAGGATTCTTTTAAACAAGTACTACCATTTTGGCACTAACTGGTCATGTTGTTGTGGCTGTCTTTTAGAAGACATGGGTTGGAATGGAGAGCACAGGGTTTGAATCCAGTCTGGAGACTCTGCCACAATGATGAGGATGTCTGTCAACATTCTCTGTCCAGTCAAGTTGAACCCTGAAATTGAAGATCACAGGGTGGGGGGTGTGCCTGTGGAGGGAGGGGTAACCTTAGTGGTTCCCTAGTGCAGGAGGCTAAAAGGAAGAGAGGCCTGGGGTGGGGATCCCCTTTTGTTATATATCTGGGGTCATGGTTCTTAACCAAAGTTGTCCAGGGACTCTCAGCAATGTCTGGAAACATTTTGGTAGTCACAACTGGCAGAGAGAGGGTAGCTGTGGCATCTAGTGGGAAGAGGCCATGAGTGCTCTTTGCCCTTTTGGGCTTCTCAGCCTTTGTCTCCTCTGGTTGCCTCAACACGTCCCAGAAGCATACAGGGATGAGTCCCAACCACTGAGTGATATGTTCTATCTAAATGGCCTTGGGGCTCAGACTAAAGAACTCTGGCCTAGTGCAGTGAGGTATTTTCTGTTTGTTTTTTTTTTTTTTTTCTCCTTGCTTATTTGACTGCTTGGTAAGTAACTACCTCCCCCCTTCATAGTCTCAAGCAGTGCTTCTTGGTGTGTCAACACCTTGTTGCCCCTTCAACATTAGGTCTGGACCTATGGAATTTTTGTCCTGGGCCCTGGAGTCCCACTTGTATTGCCTAATAGGTAGTCTTGTGACACTTGGACTCCTTCAAGACTTAGAGACATTGCCTGTGCTTAGGATGTAGTTGTGTTTCTTGTCACCAGCCATCTTTTTTTTTTTTTTAATGATTTCTTTATTTTTATTTTATGTGCTTTAGTGTTTTGCCCACATGTATATCTTTGTGAGGGTGTCATATCCCCAGAACTGGAGTTACAGACAGTTGTGAGCTGCCATATGGGTGCTGAGAATTGAACCCAGATCCTCTGGAAGAGTAGCCAGTGCTCTTAACTGCTAAGTCATCTCTCCAGCCCCCAGCCATCTTATATAGTCATTCAAGAATGAGTGTGCCTAGCCCTGCTACCCAGGGCACTTAGCACATACGGCCCATCTCTGGTGAAGAACTCATGGGTGCCCGCATCCATGAACAGCAGAAGATAAAAAGGCTGCAGCATCCCACATGGAGGTGGAGGGAGGAGAACCTCCAGGGGTGGATCTTGTAGAATGCTGCCTCTCAAGACCCTCCCAGATGGTGTGCAGGGGAGAGCAGGCTGGTCTGATGTGGGACTGGCATATGGACTGAGGTTATGCCACGTGGGTGACAGATGTTTGACACCCAGATCCAGTCTCCTGTTTGAGAAGGCATCATAAGTAAGAGTTACCCTCTTTCTGGAGAGAGCAGCCATCAAGCTTTGCTTCTAAGGGGCAAGAAGAAGACAAGCACAGCCTATGAGCAAATGCTAGCAGAGCCTCCCCTCCCCCAGGAGGCCAGGAAGAGGGTAGTAGGAGGGGCGGTGTGATTACATTCATGGAAATGAGCCTGCTAGGAGAGGAGCCGCACACGAGTGTCAGCTGCTGCTGCAGCTCCGTGCATCCGTCCCCATCCCCGGGGCTGCGCCAGCCTTCCCTACCAGGCTCTGCTCACTCCCGCCCGCTGTTTGGCCATTCGGCTTTTGTCTCCTCTGGACGCCTCCTCCCCTGCCCTTGTGTGCTGGCACACAAATGCTGTCCTTGCTCCAGCTCTCCCTGCACCCAGAGCTGGGAGAGCTCCGGGGAGCCTGGGCCTGTGGGATTGCTATACAGATCCACCATGGCCTCTGACATGGAGAACCGAGGACCAGCTGAGTCTTTGATGTTGCTGCCCAGGGCTTGACAGGACACTGGGGCCACAGAAGAGGGGACACGCTGCTGGTAAGATCCTGGTGGATGGTGCATGGAGCGGGTCTGCAGCCGCCCCCTCCCCCCCCCCCCCCCCCGTTTTACCTAGATGCAGCCTCTCCCACCCTACACCCCATACCCTGCAGCAGGCAGCAGGAGCTGACGTGCGCCGCTGACTCTGCATGTCTGTCCTTGGATTCCCATCCTCTTCTTTCTCCTCCCAGGGATTTTCCACAGTGCTTCTGGATAGGAATCCAGTTATTTGTTGTTGTTTCTTCTTGGCCTGAGACTTAAGAGCAAGCCAATAACCAATTCTCAATCTTGGCTTTGATGAGGTTAAAAATAGGGTAGCAGAAAGCCAAGGGGCAAATTCATGGCCACACTCTCCTGTCTAGATCTGCCCACCACTTGGGGGTTCTGCTGACTCGGGGCCTTTGGACCTTCCTGGTTGGGGCAGCTGAGGTTCTAGCAATACACACTGAGAAGAGCAAGATTTGACCCCAGGTCCTTTCCAGCTGCTAGACAGAGAAAAGGCTCGATTGTACAGGAAAAGTCAAGGTTGTGTAAAGGACCAGTGTGCAAAACAGTCCTAAGGGAGGAGATAAAGTGACAGAGAAGTGACTTCTGAAAACCCCCAGTCTGCTTCTGTTTGGGATGCACAGGGGGTGTGGTGGCCCAGCTGTGCAGTGTGATGGTGGCTGCAGCTGGCAGGCACCAGAATGACAGTGCTTCCCCCAAAATACAAGTGTCCTCTGACCCCCAGAGGAGGGGAGCCTCATGACCTGGGTTCCTGGTAGGATAGGGACTCTCCGACTGTCCAAGAGCTGAGAACCTAGTGCTATCTCGGAAGTGTCCAGAAGGCTCTTCCTTTCCCAGGGCTCCCAGCTTTGTCCTGTGTGGAGAAAGCTGCTGTGAATCCTGGCTGTGTCACTGCCCCTGCCAGGTATTAAAGGGTAAGGGTCTCTCAGCTGTGAGGACAGTCACTTGTGTTTTAATAAAACTACGTTTTTAGGGTAAAATTTGATGACTTAGTTCTTGTTACTGCCTCGAAATCTGATCTCATTTCCCTTCAGTGGGTTGCTTAAATTTACAGCATGCAAACTCAGTTTTGAGTTCTAGGATTTATTGGATAAATTATGTTGATTCTCTTCTCTAAATGATAGTAAAATATCTTCATTTTATAAGAATGTTCTTGGAGCTTTTAAAATACACGTTCCTATTCCATGTCTGCACACAAGGAAACTGGGGAGAGGAGAGGTCATGTTTTGTCCAAGGTCACAAAGAAGTCAGTGAAGTCCTGGCTGGTCCTGGGCCTCCTCCCTCCCTCCTGTCCCTGGACAGTATCCACTCTGAATTCAACAGGCAAGGCTGAGGCAAAGGCTGTTGTTAAGGTAGTCATCAGAGGAGCTATCCCTAAGCCTTGAGAACTGGACCAAAGTCTTCCCTCAAAATGCAAAATGTGGCAATAAAATCGTTAATACTCCTACTTCTAAGCAGAGGCCTGGATTGGTTTGCCTGGAAAGAATGTAAACTAGAGTGTATAAATGTCCACATTGGCAGTTTGCCCATCACATCTGTCTTGAGGGTCGTCCATGCTTGCTGCATATGAATTGAACAGGCTTTGGTCCTGAGTGTGTGAGTTTCTTTAAAACTTGTATACTCAGGAGGGTAGTGAGTCAAGGTGTCTTTCAAAGGCCAAATCATAGCCAAAAGGATATGAACTGGAATCAGGAGGTTAGACTATTGGCATTAAAATTTCTGTTTATTTTTAATAATGGTAAAATCCATATAACATAAAACTTACCATCTTAACCATTTGAGGTATACAGTTATGGTGCTGAACAATGGTGGTGTATCCATCCCCAGAAATGTTCAACACTAAAAGGTTGCCACTCTGTCCTTATTAATCTTCTGACCCACCCTCACCTCCCCAAACCATCACTGCTCTCTCTATGAGTGTGACCCAAGGACCCTTGAGTAAGGGAACTCTTACAGTGTCCCTCTTGTGACTGGCCGTTTTACTGAGTGTCTTCAGGGTTCATCTGGGCTTTTGTGGCATCAGAATTCTCTTCCTTTTAAACCCCTAATAGTGTATTAAATTTTAGAAGGATTGTGAAGGTTTTGACTCAGAAGGAAGAAATGGGATTGGTTCTCTAAAGTTGACAGACTCTATAAAGTTGTGGTGGGAACTCAGCACACTGCTGGCAAGTGTGTCACTAGGTCTCTGACTGTGGTCACATCCCTTTCCTGTGTCCACCTTCCCTCATTCTTGGATCCTGATCACTATTCCGAGGACTGGAAACAACTTCTGGCTTGCTATGAAGCCCGGAGCATCAAGCTTTGGGTTTTTCCTCTTTTGCTGTTACCTGAAAGATGGTTGGAAAGTAGGTTGCTTTCTTAGTCTTTCTGAATGCCTCAACCCCATCACTTGTGAATGGGGAGTTCTAAGTGAGGGAAGACAGGCTCTCCAAGCCAGGTAGCAGTGATCAATAAGAAACTTGGTACTATCTTTGAATCTGCAGCTGCTGCCTTCTGTGCCAGCCCCTCCTGCCTTGCCCCCGTTCCCTGCTGTTTCTGACTCACCACAAGGTACAGGGCTTAGGGCTGTAACTTTCCCCGCTATGGTCTAAGAGCCATACTCCACTGCAGAGTGTTCTGGGAAGCAGCCTGTCAGCGTATTGTTGGTGAGGGACACACACTGATGAGATGGGTTGCCCAGGGCCACACAGTGGGTGAGTATGGACTGTAGGTGATATAACCAAGTGGCCCTGGGCGGTTCCACAGGTGGGTGCAGTGCCCAATAGACATGGCCCTCATTAGCATGCACTCCGAAATTGTCCGTGACCTCTAGGTCTTTGGGACTGCTGCTCCTCCAGGAAGGGAGAGTCCGCTGTCCAGCCATGAGGCAGCAGTAGTTACAGGTTGGGTGAGTATTTGTGGTGTGTAGGCAAGAGAGGAGGCAAGTGAGTGAATCTGCAGGTGAAGGGACCTGGCTTAGATCAGGGTGCCCACTGAGCCAACTCTTCCAGCTCTTTTCCTGCGCCCAATGGTTACAGCAATGGATGGGGTACTTCCATCTTACAAAGAGGCGAGCAGCTGCTGAGCATTGGTGTGGCCACAGTACTTGGAAGTTTTTCAAAGTGTAAGTCCCTGGATTTCCTGGGTGACAAAGTGATATAGGCCTCTGGAGGGGACAGACTCTGGACTTGTTGCCAAGATCACACTGGCTAAGTCCACTTGGGGGCAGACAGTGGAAGGGTTGGTGCCTTGCTGTGGCTGGTGCTGCTGGCTTTCAGGGCTTTCACACTGTGGGAAGTTTCAGCAGCAGCTTCCTATATCTGTGCTCTTGGAACTAGGAGAGCCACTGTCCTCTCGGAGTGGGGGCCAGCTCTGTGGGGATGTGGGGAAACCTGGGCTTCGTTTACCACCTCTGCAGTTCTGGGCTGTGCTTAGATTTGCCTGAGTAAGTGAGAGGCAGGGAAGGAGTAGGGAGAAGGAGAGAAAGGAAATACGTATTTGCATGTTCAGTCCAGGTCCAGAATAGGAAAGGCAGCTTAACAGCAGAACTGTATGGAAGTATGGGGGAGCTCTGGGCTCTGGGTTTGGGGCTATTACCATGGTAGCCATGCTTTGTATATTTACCTTCTTCACAGTGAGGAGAAGGTGAGCCCTCCAAGAAGACCCATTTCTTAGTCACTCTTCACTGTCTCCCTGTAGTACTGCATTAAATGTAGACCCTTTTTATCCACTGAGGCCCGGGCTCTGTGGATGCTGGTTAATAATTATGGCAGTTAATAAATATGGTTAATAATAATTAAAAACAAGGCAGGTAGTGTATTTTCAAGCCAAGCAGAGAGGTGTGAGGGGAGCAAGATGACCTCAAAAAGCAGGAAGAAGGAAACCTGCCTTCCAAAGCATGCCTGGACCCCTCTGATTTCACAGCACCCACTAGGGTTGGGTAAGCGCCATGCATTTGGGTAGTGGCTGCAGTGGCTGCTAAATAGAACCTGATGTCACAGGAGCTACATCCCCAATGGGACCTCGGGGCACACCACTGGGCAGCTGTGACAGAACAGAACAGGGACTGCAGGGCTTCAGACCGATGCCTGCCATCCTGTGCACATTTCTGTTCCTTGGCTTGGAAAGAAGGCACCGTCCCTTTAAGACAGTCCTCCTTTGTATGTGCTGGCTGGACCATGTTTCAGCTCTGAGTTTCTGCCTACAGTTAAAATCTGCAAAGCAACATTTAAATAAATAAGTGAGAGCTTCCCTTGTACGGCTTTTGCCTTCACAGCTGGGCACAATGGCTTCTTGTTGTTTGGCCTCTTTAATCCCCTTCATTAAACTGGAACCTGGGAAAAGATTGGTGAGGAGACCAGTGTGGGACTGTCCCCTCAGCCTGCTGGCTGGACACCTCACAAATTAACTTTAGAGCATGGGTTCCTGTCCCTCCGGCACAGGCAAGGGGGAGTGATGGTGTAGCAAGAGGACTCCTGATCTGTCTCCATTGTGCTCAGACTGTGGCAAGGACAACCTGCTGCCCTGCCCAGTGGCCATTCTTTTAGAGAAAAGGGTTTAGCCGCCTCCTGGCACAGAAGCGTGGCTGTAGCACGTGGCAGTGGGGGAGGGGAAGTTGTTTGTTGTTCTGCCATCTGGCCTGGCCTGTCAGAGCTCTTGTGCAGTTTAACCCTGCCAGTCCTTGGGGTTAGATAGCCTTCCCTGCTGGTGCTCCCAGGTCCAGTAGACTGGGTCACCCTGTGTCCCTTGTCTGTCTCTCCCTTCTCCTTCCCAGCATGGTTCCATTGTTCACAGCATCTGTGTTATCAGCCCAGGTCCCTGGAACCTCCATACCCCCAGCACCCTAGCAATCATTTAGATCCTGTGTTAAATGAAGCAATCATTGGCATTTGTTTTTTTCTCTGGCACAGAGGCTTGAACTAAAGATTTGCTTTGGTAAGATTGGTGTTGCATTGGTAAGGTTTGGTGTTACATTGGTAAGATTTGGTGCTGAGTTGGTAAGGTTTGGTGCTTCA